CCCTTCCTTGGGTTCAGTTCATTTGCTAGAGCAGCTCACAGAACTCAGGAAAACAGTTGTTACTGGGTTACTGATTTGGTATAAAAGGATATAATCAGAGAGAGCAAAGAGATGCCTAGGGCAAGCTATGTGGGAAGAGACGTGGAGCTTCTCTGCTCTCTCCCAGCACTTTTTTGTGTTCACCAGCCTAAAAGCTCCCCAAACCCCATACTTTGGGGGTTTTTATGGAGGCTTCATCACATATGCATGATAGATCATTAACTCAATTTCCAGTCACTCTCCGGAGTATGGGGGGCTGGGAGGCTGAAAGTTCCAAGCTGTTCGATGCTTTTTCTTTCTGGTGACCATGCGGGAGCCGCCAACAGTCAGCTCGTTAGAACAAAAGACATTTCTAAGGGATTTTGGGAGCTCGGTGTTGGGAAACCGAGTCGAAGACCAAGTAGGACAGAAGATGCTCCAAGTGCTTGTATCACTTAGGAAAGTGCAAGGGTATTAGGCACTCTGCCAGGAAGCAGAGGCAGAGACCAATATAGCCATGTGTCGCTTAACAATGGGGATATATTCTGAGAAATACATCATTAGGCAATTTTGTTGCCGTGATCATAGAGTATATTTAGACAAATCTAGATGATGTAGCCTACTACACACCTGGGCTATACGGTGCTAATCTTATGGGACCACCATTGTATGTGCAGTCTGTCATTGAGACATCATTAAGCAGTGCCTTACTGTATTTTTTCTATTATTTTGTACAAGGGTAATGCAATGTGAGTCTGGCAAGTAAGAAAGCAGGGAAGTGTTGAAAAAACAAATGATGGGGATATGTGAAAAATATAGGAGCCAACTTGAAAACTCCCAGTGGCCAGAGCTGGAACAATTTGAGCAAGAAAATAACAGTATTGGTATAAAATAAATATGTTTGACTCCATATTGATATAAATGAATACATAAGTGGAAAGGAGACAAATCTTTACAGAAGAATTCCAAATAATGGTAGAGATACCCCTTCCCAACAAACGTAATTCTCTTTTGCTTGAGAGGCTGGATAGATGGTGGAAAGGAAAAATAGTTAACAACAGTGGAGAAACTTGTATACTAGCTTAACCAAGGGATTGGGGTTATCATCAGCAGTGAGACATCATGTTAGTATATATCCCTGATATGTGAAGAGAACAGCACTTTATCTCTGTGGTATTCTTCCCTAAAACATAGTCACAGTCTAATCAAGAGAAAAATGTTAGACACCTAAATTGAGGAACATTCTGCAAAATAAAAACAAGGTCATGAAAAGCAAGGAAACAGAGAACTATCACAGATTGAAGGAAACAAAATGTTTCCTGGATTGGATCCTGGAACGAAAAAAAAAAGACATTAATGGAAAAACTGGTAAAATCTGTGGTTTAGTTAATAATGTGCCAATGTTAGTGTATTAGTTTCAACAAATGTACCATAGTTGTGTAAGATGCTAACATTAGAGAGAAAGTGAAGAGTTTATGGGAACTCTACTAGCATTGCATCTCTTAGGTAAATCTAAAATTATTCCAAACTAAAAAGTTTAATTAATAACAGGCCATTCTCTAGCATCTCAACACCATTCTCATTACCCACGATTTCTCAAATATCATTTACAATGGTTCCTTAACCACATGTGTAAGGTTTTTAGATACAATGAAATCTGAGTTACATGGATAAAACTCAGAAAAAGTTAAATTATTACCTGCTGAAGATTGTGTCAAAAATCCTCGATTGCTTCTTTGGATGACTTGTCAATATTTGCCTTGGAGCAGCTCCTGACTCTTAAACCTCATTTTGTTCAGGGGTTCGTTTTCACACTATGTTGGTACTAACATTTCCACTCAGATGATAATTCTCCATCAGAGTTGAGCTGGACTACTTATCAGGCAAGCATTAATATACTATGCATTCCGTACACGTCCACACCTGAGCTTCCTTTTTCTTCATATCCCAAAAAAAGACTGCAGATGTTTTCTTCAAAGCAGCTGCATCCCCTTCTGTGACCTAGTCTTGAAAAGCAGCATCACTTCATTTCCACTGTACTCTCTTGGGTTGAAACGGTTACAGAAATCTCCCTAGCTTCAGAAGAAGGAGACTTAGACCTCATTTCTCTAAGGGAGGAGTATCAAAGTCACGTTGTAAGGAGCATATGGGATGGAATAAATTGTTAAGTTATCTGTGGGAAAATACAACCTGTCGCATCTGGATTCACCATTCAGAAGGTAGTTTCAAGAAGCTACTGCCATGGGGCGGGCCCCGTGGCCGAGTGGTTAAGTGCGCACACTAGGCTGCTGAGGTCCAGGGTTTCGCCGGTTCAGATCCTGGGCGCAGACATGGCACCGCTCATCGGGCCATGCTGAGGCAGCGTCCCACATGCCACAACTAGAAGGACCCACAACCAAGAATGTGCAACTGTGTGCTGAGGGGCTTTGGGAAGGAAAAAAAAAAAATCTTAAAAAGAAAAAAATCTACTGCCAAAGTGATTGTCCCTAAATGCAAATCTGATCCTGTTAACTTATCAGCCAAAACTTCCATTAAGCTCCCCAATGGAAAGTCAAACAGTTTCTGCCACCTGGGCACACCAAGCTGTCTACAGCTCTCAGAGCATGCTTCTATACCTTCAAGCTGCTTCCTCTGGCAAATGCTTACTCCTTTTGTAGGCCTTAGGGACTTTCTCCCTGAGACCCTTCTTAATCTCTTAGCACCTCCCCCAACTCATTATTCCTCCCTTTGGGTCACTGCCAAACACTATCAATCATAGTGCTTGTAGTACTTTATTGCACTTCTTTATCTCTTGAAAAAAGTGTAACAAATTTGAGGGCAGGAACCATGGTGTAGTTATTGCCTGGTTCATGAGAGGCCCTTAATAAATGCTTATTGGATAGATAAAAATGACCTTTACATTGTATTTCATGGCTTATAATTACACTGTGAAGCCTGAGGATCTAATTCAGTTTATAAAATAGTATTATTACATACCTATGTAATTGCTTATTCTTTAGATTTATCAATCATTACCCTAAAAATCAAATCATTCTTCTGACCACAGTAGAAACACTAATGTTGTAACCTGCATATTTGCTATGTGTTGTTATTGATTTCATTTGGGAGCCTGAAATCACCTCAAAGACAGCATCTATAATTATTTATTTCTCCTTGCCTTCCTCACACGAAAAAAAGGCCGGCCCCACGGCCAAGTGGTTAAGTTCGCAGGCTCCACTTTGATGTCCCAGGGTTTCACCAGCTTGGATCCTGGTTGCAGACCTGGCACTGCTCAGCAAGCCATGCTGTGGTGGCTTCCCACATAGCACAGCCAGAAGGGCCTACAACTAGAATATACAACTATGTACTGAGGGGCTTTATTTTTATTTTATTTTATTTTTTTGAGGAAGATTAGCCTGGAGCTAACTGCTGCCAATCCTCCTCTTTTTGCTGAGGAAGACTGGCCCTGAGCTAACATCCATGCCTATCTTCCTCCACTTTATATGTGGGATGCCTACCACAGCATGCCATGTCAAGCGGCACCATGTCCACACCTTGGATCCAAATCAGCGAACCCAGGGGCTGCTGAAGCGGAATGTGTGCACTTAACTGCTGTGCCACCAGGCTGGCCCCTGTACTGGGGGGCTTTAGGGAGAAGAAGAAAAAAAAAAGAGATTGGCAACAGATGTTAGCTCAGGTGCCAAACTTTAAAAAAAAAAAAAAGTGAATGATGAAAAGCAAGAGAAAACGAAAAATAGTAACTAGCTTTCCATCCTGACCTTTCTAGATCTCTCAAAAAGTCTCTGACTCATAGCATTAGACTTTTAGACATTGAAAAAGTCTCAGAGATCATCTAGGACAATACCCAATTTTTATAAGTGAGGACTCTGAGGCATAAAGAAGCTCTCTGACTTGTCTAAGTCTCTCAGATATTTAATAGGATAAGAAACAGAAATGAAACCCAGATGTTTGTCTAGTATCTCCAACCCACTAAGTCTAATCCCTTAGTTCTCAGTCCTCAAGGTGCATTAGAATTATCTGTGCACTTCTTAAAACTACCATTAGTTTACCAAGTCTGGAATGAGATCCAGGTATATGAATATTAAAAAGTTTCAGTTTGAAAATCAGTCCTAAAGTCCTACTGCTTTTCTGCAGCATCTCAGGCTCCCTTCCCACTTTCTGATCTCATTTCCACCTCCCTAGCCAAAGTCCTATCACTCCAAGCCGGCTTCTATGCTTCCAGTTTTCTACTTCAATTCTACTTTGCCAGATGAATTTTCCTAAACCACTTCTCAACCCTTAGAGCATAGAAGAGTCAACCGAGCTCTTATCTAGAAGCTAATTTCTGGACCTGCTGTTAGCAATTCTGACTTGGTAGGTCTGGGGCAAGTCCCAGTAATCTGCATATTTAACAAGCAATGGAGAGGGCATTGGTTCTCATACAGATGGTCTATAGATGACACCATGAGAAACACTGTTCTAGTAAAACAAATGTTAATCCTCTAACCAGGCATTCAAGGCCTCTACCACCAGTTCATTCTCTTCAATCTTGTTTTTCACTTCTTCCCAACTTGCTGTGCTCATTTCCACTTCTACCTCTTTCCTTTACTCATGTTATTCCCTCCTCCTGGAATTCTCCACTTCTTTACCACCCCCAACACATTCCTTCCTATATAAATACTGTGCATCTTTCAAGGCCCAGTTCACTCTGCTGCCATGAAAATGGCCCAACTCCTCTTTCCCATACTGATTTCTCTTTCTTCACATGTCTATAGTGGTGAGTACATAATTTATCATTTATATATTGTCTAATGAGACTTCTGAGTAAGGCCCATCTTAATTGTGTAAGCTCTTAAGTAACAAGTACATATCATACTTTTTTTAATCACTAGAGCATCTAGCATCATAGGAACAAAATAGCTGCTTAGTAAAATATTTTTAATTGGTTTGGAGAACTCAATGATTAAATCTAAGTTGTATTTATTTGTATTTTCATTTTACAGTCAAAAAAAGTGAAGTAGAGTGTCTCATAAGACTTTTTCACAAGTTGGTGGGAAGAGCTGATGTCAGACTTGATAACGTTGGACTAGATCGTAATGCGTTTCGAGGGATCCTGTACAGCATATTTGGAATGACTGATGATGTACTAATGAATAGGGGTAAGAAGTCATAAGAAGCTGAAATGGGCCAAGCTGAGATGGGAAATATGTTAATATATGACAAATACGTACATCTATGTTCAATTTTCATCAAAGACTTTGAATTTTTTAATACCAAACTAGAAAGACATAATTCTGGTAGTGCTATCAATATAAAATAGTAGTTGATTTGATTGTGAGGATGGTTTTTCATATAAACTCACTCAGAATTTCCTGTCTCATAGTTGTACCACTTTGAGAGAGAACTAGTAATGAACTAAATAAGTTAGCAGTATTGTTTTTGTAAAGGATAAGCATATGGCTTTTAATCATGGTGTCTTTGGATTCATATGCTGTAGACATGTAAATTATTAAATTATTAGATCTTTTTCCTCATAAAAAATGAAGAATGTATCAGTACAAAAAATGATAATTACTCATTGTACTGAAAAAATCAAAGATCATATATTTAAAAATAGGAAATTATTTAATGTGATCCATTGAATTTCACTAACAGATTTTTTAGTGTTCAATTTGATAAGTTTTGACATATGTATACACCCTTGAAACCTTAGCCATAATCAAAATAATTAACATATCCATCACCCCTGAGTCAATAATATCTTATTTTCTATAGGATAGTACTAAGATTTCATTGGTAAGTTTTAAAACAATGTGTTACTTTAGTAATTTCTCTTTACATATTGTACAAACTTTTTTTTTTTTTGAGGAAGATTAGCCCTGAGCTAACATCTGCCGCCAATCCTCCTCTTTTTGCTGAGGAAGATTAGCCCTGAGCTAACATCCATGCCCATCTTCCTCTATTTTATATGTGGGATGCCTGCCACAGCATGGCTTGATAAGTGGTGTGTAGGTCCACACCTGGGATCTGAAACAATGAACCTCAGGCCGCCAAAGCAGAACGTGCGGATTTAACCACTGCGGCAAACCAGGCTGGCCCCTACAAACTCATTAGAACAAAATTTTGCCACTCTTTTTAGAATAAAAATTGTCACATTGATTAGCTCCACTGTTGGTCTTCTTGGCTCATAGCAACTGTACAAGCATCACAAGTGAAGCTCATCATTGATCATAGAGGAGAATGACTCTTTTCTGTCTATGAAAATCTGGGGGAAATGTATTTCTAGTAATTTTGACTCTTTCAAGGAAGATCGTGCCAAAACCTTATTTTCCTCTCAATTTGGGAGGAAAGGTTTTTAAAAAATCTATTCCTACATACATACTTTTGAATTATAAAATAGCTGTAAAATACACTTACACCTTCTCTTTTTTTCAGTATTTTTTGCATTTGACAAAGACAATGATAACTGCATAAATGTAAAAGAATGGGTTAAAGGATTATCGGTTTTTCTTCGAGGGACTTTTGAAGAAAGGCTGAAGTGTAAGATTTCTATATGTGATTACTGACTTAGTAATATATATTGTCAATTTTGTATTTAGTGAATGCTTAAATATTTTTTAAAAATATAAAATCAGTGTTCTCTACAGCAACCTTGCAAAAATAGTTCGTGACAGCTTAAAAAAGAAAAGAAATGGGTGGCCTATTTCATAGGCGAGTCCCCAGCCCCAGGGTCCCCAAATACCTCCTTCACTGCTTCTGTAATGTCCAAATATCACCAGGGTGGGTCTTCGGCTTAAGGCCCAGACTAAGAACAGCAGCCAAGCATCAGGGCTGGTGCCAACTCTATTCAGCTGGCAAGGCTGAGGTTTCTGAGGCTGCCTCTGGGCTCAGCAGGAAATGGGCCTTGATATGGGGGAGCGTTTAGGTCACACTGGGGCCATTCCTTGTCTTTTCATCAAAGAAAATGTGAGGAATTGACACAAAATAAGGTAAAACACACATTAACCACCAGACATCAATACTGTAGTGTTAGAGTTAGTGTAGAGGAGGGAAGAAGGTTGAGGACACTGAAGGCCCAAAGGGAGGAGGATTGAAGAGGGAGCTTTCTATAGAAAAGGAACGTTAGGAATTCCAAAGACAAAAATCTTCCAAGTCACAATTTTGCCTAGAAATAGCTCTGGCCTCTCACTCCACCTGTACCATTGGTGTGATATATATTTTCTATGTTTTGCACCTCTGGTGCCAGGATTTGGGGTGAGGAACCCTAGAAAGAGAATAGGAACAATTTTAAATAGCAGTTTTCAAGGGATCAAATTGCTTAAAGTGTCAAATTGCTTAAGAAAAGACTGCAGAGTTCTGAGTAAGTAAGCATATTTTAATTCCTTTTTGTCCTTCCACTTGAATTCGGATTTGGGATATTCAAAAGAATATCCCTAAGTTAAATACATGTTTTTAAAACCATAGCAACATTTTAAAAAATCACCAACTTTCTCTGACATTTGTGACTTTGTTTCTTTGTGTTTTTTTCTCTTTGATTTTTTTAAATTAAGGTATCATTGACATACACTATGTGGTTTTTCCCTTAACTTTTCTCCGGTCTAATTTTTCACAGGATAACATTTAAATACATTGCCCTCTAAGTTTGTTGCAGCTTTCTTATACAGAAGTCTCACTGAGAAGTTAAAAAGCTCAGTTTTATGGATGTAAATTCTTATGGTAATCCTAATACTTGGTGAAAATGGTCATGACACTGAACGCAGCTGCATGTTACTGAACAGCATCACACTATCACACTATCAAAAGATTTTCCTCTTCTAATCCCAGTTCCTAAAAATGTTTCATAGACATATCAAGATGTGTTAATTTGGGGAAAATACTTCTTTTAGTAGGGTTGTGATGCAAACTCATATGTGTGCTATAGACTGGAGAAACTCAATAAAAATACAGCTAATCTGATACTCCGGAGGTTTATACCTGGTTCTAGTGCTTTTACTAAAACGTTTAAGTAGATTACAAAGAGCTCCACAAGAGCTCTTTCACTGCTGTATTCCCAGGACCCGAGGAAGGTCATTTGTGGGATGAATGAGTGAACTGTCGTAATGCTTACACAGTGAGATGGAAGTCCCTCTCCAGGAAGAGAGAGAGCATTTTGGATAGTGCAGATGGGCAGGCCCCAAGGAGATGACAGACTCACTACCCAAATATATTAAAAAATGCTCTTTGTCAGTGACATAGTCAAGTGTGTACTTAGTTTTTGTACTCTATGTAAGAAGAGAATCATAATACTGAGATAATCAAACACATATATATGTATGTGTATATATGAATTGTATGATGAAAGGTTTAAAAAATATGTATCCCCTTTATTGCAGCTTCATAACATTTTTAAACCCTCAGTTTCAAAATCCAGAAACTATAAGTCTATCTTTTCACATCCAAAGGGGTACTTAATCTTGTGGAAAGAAATATAATAAAGGGTGCTTTATTTTAAATTGTCTCTACCATATAGACCAATAATTGTAGCTTGTATAATTTGTTTTTATTTATTTATTCATTTATTTTTGAGGAAGATTAGCCCTGAGCTAACTACTGCCAATCCTTCTCTTTTCGCTGAGGGAGACTGGCCCTGAGCAAACATCCATGCCCATCTTCCTCTTTTTTTTATATGTGGGACGCCTACCACAGCATGGCTTTTGCCACGTCCGCACCCAGGATCCGAACCGGTGAACCCCTGGCCGCCGAAAAGCGGAACGTGTGAACTTCACCGCTGTGCCACTGGGCCAGCCCCGTGTTTTTATCTTTTTTTGTTATATATTGAAATAACTAAGGAGAAGACTGATGACATTTTAACTTAACCAAGTCTTTAAACTTCTTATGCTTTGAAAAGTCTGTTTTGAAGTCTATTATCTGAATGGTGATGGTTACATTTCTCGAGAGGAAATATTTGACATGTTGAAGAACAGTCTACACCAACCGTCATCTGAAGAAGAGACTGATGAAGGAATAAAAGAGTTGGTAGACATAACACTGAAGAAAATGGTAAGAATGAAAAACTATAATTCATTATATCCAATCAAGTGGATATGGATTAAAGCTAATGAGGAAGAAATGATTTCTTTCCCTCTGTAATGAATGTAAACTTTACGAGAGCAGGAGTTTCTCTGCTCTATCCACTGCCTAGTACTGTGCCTGGCTGATTGTGGGTGCTCAATAAATATTTATGGAATGGCTGAGTGATGAAATGATCACTATACAAAATGAATTTAATTTTATTTTAAAATATTTTACTATAAGTAAAAACTCATTAATTAGGGGAGGAGCAGATTCACGTAAAATTTGATGCTACTGTAGTTCGTCTTCATGACCTTAACCCTCCAATCCATCTAAACACTCATTATGACAAAATAACATAATAATGATAGTTGGCCCTTAAAGAGTGCTTTCATATGCCCTGCCCTTCGCAGAACTTTAATATACAAACTCATTTTATCCTCAAAACAACCTCTGAAGTAAAAGTTATTCCATTTTGCAAATCAGAAAACTGAAGTGCAGATGGGTTTACCTAAGGTCACACTAGAAAATGGGGTGCAGAATTCATCTTTCAATAAAACCAATAATGTATCTTTATTATGGACATGGTGAACTCTCCTTTTCTTACTATGACACTAAACTGGCCACCAGTGAAGCTTTGTGACTCTAAGGCAGCCTGGGGGCAGTTCACCCCTATTACTCTTTAGTTCAGGAAAGAAGCAGATGATAGGGCTGCCGAGTCTCAGACTCAGCTAACACAGACTCCAGAATATCTTCTTCCATTAGAAATACTCTCACTAGCCGCTGCTAGGGCTGAGGGTAGACTTCTTGAGAGACAGCACCAACCCCACCTCCTTCTTTTTTTGAAAGGAGATGTTATGGAGTGAACATTTTTCTGAAAATTATTCAAACCTTTCTCAAAATAGACCCTCAGCAGCCCTATTTAATTATGCTCAGCAGTGAAGACACAAGGACTCATCCAATCCAATCCAAATTCAATTAAATAGTTAAAGGCATTCATAATCTGCAGACATGCTCCCCCCATGATTTACTTAACCTTCCATGGTCCCTGTCATGAATGCTCCACCCCTGGCAGGTCTTCTTCCTGACTTGCACTCCTGCTTACTGTCAGAATTCAGGTTAGGCCATTCTTCTGCATTTCCTCCTCACACCTTTCCACCTATCTGGATCCCAACCATCCTTCAAGGCCCAGCAGTGGTCTGCAAGCTTCTCCTCGTGACCCTGGTCCATCTTGAAGTGTTACTGTCCTAACTCCCAGTACCTTGCTCCTTAACTGAACGACTTCACTTTTATCCTTTTTCCATGTTGGGCTCCCAAATACGAGATCTTTTGAGGAACAAGTTCTGTTACTGAAAATTATGCTTGAAAATCTTTGCCCTTATTTTGTCACAAATGTGGCAATGTAATAATGGGCCTCCTCTGATTTTTTGTCTTATTTCCCCAATTACAGTCTAAGTCCTTTAGGTACAGGGCTGCATTTTCTCTAGCTAAGGTAACTCAGGTGTCTTAGTCTGCTTGGGCTGCTATAACAAAATACCATAGACTGGGTGGCTTAAACCACAGAAATTTATTACTCACAATTCTGGAGACGGGAAAGTCCAAGGTCAAGGTGACAGCAGATTCACTTCCCTGAGGAGGGGCTCTTTTCCTGGCTTTCAGACAGCCGCCTCCTCAATGTGTTCTCACATGGCAGAGAGACAAAGTTCTGGTCTCTCTTTCTCTACTTAGAATGGCACTAATTGCATGATAGGGGCCTCACCTTCATGACCTCATCTAAACCTAATTACCTCCCAAAGTCCCCCACCTCCAAATACCATCACACTGCAGTTAGAGTTTAACATATGAATCGGGAGTGGGGACACAAATATTCAGTCCATAATACCAGGTATGCCTATTAGATTAATAGGAATAAAATAAGTGGCCTCCATAAATAAGTACCTTTTGATTTATGTAAGTAGTACTTACAGAAGTATGTACTCACAGTTTTACTTGGTAAAACCTTTTATTCTAGACAGTCATTTTCCATGCAAAACTAAAAACTACCCTATCGTTTACCAAGAAATCATCTTCCTCCCTAGGATTATGACAATGATGGCAAGATATCTTTTGCAGACTTTGAAAAAGCAGTGAAAGAAGAGAGACTTTTGTTGGAGGTGTTTGGACCATGTTTACCAGAAGCAAAGGTACAGTGCCAACAGCCCAAACTGGTTGAAGCAGAATCTTAAAGGATCGGAAAATACTACTTGCTAGACACTCACCTGTGTGGGGCTTCAGCCCGCTGCTGAAGTTCAGGCGACCATGAAGGCCCTGGCCCCATCCTAGCATTTTGGGACTCAAGACAGTGGTAACTATTTAAGTAATTATATTCCACAGACTTTTGTTGAGTTTATAACCTCTTTAGCTATACATAATTCCCAATTTCCTGTATGTTAACAATGTTTTCCTGAAGAAAACCAGGGTATATCGGCTTGCTTAAGGGATAGAACAGTGAATAAAGAGTGGATTCAACAAGGGCCCACCATAAACTGCTGGGAGAAAACGATCTCTTTCAATACAAATGTTTTCAAACAATGAGAATAAATTTTTAACCTTTTGGACACATATATTACTTTATAGAATTTTACTTATGCTCATGAAAGTTTTTCATGTATGAATTTGACAAAAGTTTTCTGAGCTGGAAAAGCCAGCTTAATAATTGATTTGACTCATTTCCTTTCTTAATTCTTAATCAACTGTGCTTTGTGAACATGATATACGAAGAAAATTTTATTCTCTGCAGTAATTTAGACGGTGATTTTGTGAATGAACTTGCATAATGTGAAGCTACCCTTAGCCATCTCAGCTCGTCTAACTTGTCCAACTGCAGTTTATTGCCACATTGTAATTATCTACCAACATGTGTTAAAAAGCAACGTGTGAAAGGCAAACTCCTTGTTTTAGGGGACTAGTGGGTGAAACAGTATAGAGTACCGGACTGGAGCACCAACACGCTCCCGGACAGTTCCTCTGCAGCCCAGCTATCGAGAGCCTTCCTACTCTAAGTATAGCCTGTGCACCAGCCACGATGGTATCACCTAGGAACTTGTGAGAAATGCAGAATTCCAGACCCAAACCAACTGAATCAGAATCCTTTTTTTCGGTTTCAGAAACAAAAGTTTCTTTCTTTCTCTCACTATGGTCAAATATTGTGTGTGTTGGTGGGGATGGGGCCTCGACAGTCACAGAACAGGAAGGATTCCATTCAGGAACACAGAACCCACTTAGCAGCTCCTCCCTTTAGGGCTGTCAGAGAATTTTTTTTAAATTGTGGTAAAATACACCTAACAAAATTTACCATCTTTACCAATTTTAAGTGTACAGTACAGTAGTGTTAAGTACATTCACATTACTGTGCAACCAATCTCCAAAACTCTTCATCTTGCAAAACTGAAACTCTCTGCCCATTAAACAACTCCCCTTTCCTGTCACCTGCCAGCCACTGGCTGCCACTATCAGAATTTTTTTTTTTTTTGAGGAAGATTAGCCCTGAGCTAACATCTGCTACCAATTCTCCTCTTTTTGCTGAGGAAGACTGGCCCTGAGCTAACATCCGTGCCCATCTTCCTCTACTTTATATGTGGGATGCCTGCCACAGCATGGCTTACCAAGCAGTGCCATGTCTGCACCTGGGATAGAAACTGGTGAATCCTAGGCCACTGAAACGGAATGTGGGAACTTAACCACTGCACCTCTGGGCCAGCCCCCAGAATTTGCATTTTAATAAGATCCTGAGGTGAAGATTCATAGCTCTTTGAAGTCTGAGAAGCCCGATCTAGATAACTTGCTCTTTCCAATTCTATGCTCAGGTGTCTTTTACCTGAGAGTTCAGCAAAAAATGTATCGAATTCCCTTACTAGGAACAGGGCCAAACCCTCTGCCTGCAGCTTCTTTTAACACCATTCACTCCTTAGTGCCGTGCTAGCAAGCTGAATCAGTAGGTCACAACTGAAGATGAACCTTATTAACTGATACATTCCAATTCAATCCATTAGACAAGAGGGCCTCAAGCATAGGAAGAAAAGAAAAACTGACACCATTTGGTATGGGCCTTCTCAAGTTATTTTTATCAGTAAAAAAAAAAAAGGAAACAACCTAGATAAACTTGGCTTTGCAAATATATGGTCCACTGACAGAAAAAAAAAATGTGAGTGTGCTACAAGTAGTGGTATAAGTCTAGCATTTACAAATACTGATCTGCTTTTGCCACAGATCAAATAAATTCTTCTTAGAAATTAATTAAAGCATGTAAGCTTCTAATTTCAGCTTTGTTCTAATAGTTTATTAACTTTTTTACTTTACAGAATTGTCTTGATTTTGAAGCCCTGGCATTCAGACATATCCTGACTTCTAGGTTTTGAATGTGAATCACTCAATATTTGTATTAAAATCAGAAACAGATTCTGGTTGCCTATCTTTGTTTGTATTGTAAAGTTTCTATATTTGCTTCAATTAATTTACATGTAGTCTTGCAATGTGAGAGGTAAATTTATGAAAACAGTTTCCGTAATATTAAGTATGGATCAAAATAATATCTATAATAAGTAATGATAATCTAACTTTATTTTTTTTTAAGTTAGCTATCAACCTTGGATCCTGTGGAAAATACTGTGAATTAGCCATCACAACTCTCTTTTCTCTTGCTTTCTCAGCCATAGAAGTTGGAAACATAAAACATTCACCATTCCAGACTCCTCAGTTAGGAACAGCCATGAGGCCAGTTCTAGCCAATAAGATGTAACCAAAGTTTTATTTTTTTTAAGGGACATATTTGGCTGGCATGTATTTTGTGCATGAAAAGCTAATTTCAAAAGATGAAACTGTTTTAGACAAGTGGCTTGAATGAAATTACAAAGAGGAGTGCATTAAAAAAATACCAGTAAAATCTCTTCAAGAACTAAAATGACAGGTTAAAAATAAAAAATAAATAGTCCCTTAGAAAATAATCTGCGGCTGGCAATCTATATCCTTCTTCTTTGTTTCACTGAGTGACTTGTATGCATGTCTTCCAGTTTGTCCTCTGGAGGCTCTGGCACAGATGAAATTACCTAGTTTAAAAAAAGAGAACCAATCAAAACTTAATTTTTATATTTACCGAGTAAATAAACTATTAGAAGAGACAGGATATACATCTAGTAGTTCAATCCTTGCCATCACACTTGAGGCAGAGTTAGCCCAAGTTCAAGGTACAGCCTATGATCTGGGCACAGAACAAAGTTTTCTGTCCAAACATTGATGGGAGTAGAACTTTTAAAGTCATTTAACAAGAAAACAAATTTGAGGGGAGAAAAGTAAACATACGCTCTACTTTAACATTCCTTTATAAATCTGCAGTCACTTATTTTATGGATACAGACAGACATCCTGGTTATGCACAAAATTTGGAGAAATAAGCAGAAAATGACATAATCCTCAATTTTTTAGGGAAAAATGAAACCAAACACATCATCATAAAAAGAGTGGACACGGGGCCGGCCCCGTGGCTGAGTGGTTAAGTTCGCGCGCTCCGTTTCAACAGCCCAGAGTTTTGCCAGTTCGGATCCTGGGTGCGGACACAGCACTGCTCATCAAGCCACGCTGAGGTGGCGTCCCACATGCCACAACTAGAAGGACCCACAACTAAAAAAATATACAACTATGTACCAGGAGTCTTTGGGGAGAAAAAGGGAAAAAAATAAAATCTTTAAAAGAAAAAAAAAGAGTTGGACAATAAGTTAAAGCAAAGTTAAGACAGTCTTCTCTTAAAATGGAAAATTATTAGAAACTGTAGTAAATTGTATTATTTCTTCTTTGTGTTGTTCTACTATTTCTGTATCTACGATTTGGACCTAACACTTTTTCCTAAAAATACAGTCAGCTGGGGCCGGCCCCATGGCCGAGTGGTTAAGTTTGAGCGTTCCGCTTCCGCGGCCCAGGGCTTCGCAGGTTCGGATCCTGGGCGCAGACACGGCACTGCTCGTCAGGCCACGTTGAGGCAGCATCCCACATGCCACAACTAGAAGGTCCTACAACTAAAATATACAACCATGTACCGGGGGGCTTTGGGGAGAAGAAGGAAAAAAAATGCAGTCAGCTCTGGCTGAGACCGCTATGTATCCATATCTATTCCTCGGTTCAGCCGTATCTGAAGGAACACACAATGCCCGCACAAACTAAAGACTTTAAAAGGAGGCTTACGCATATTGCGTCCATGGATTTTTATTATTAGAAAACAATCCTCATTCCTTAATCAGATAATTTTCAGGTAAAAAAAAAATGTACATAAAATAAATTAAGCTACCTTAGTCCCTTAATCACACTGCAAAATATATGTATACTGTGTGAAAAGCACTTAACCTCAGAGTTGAAGTACAAGAGAATGGTTTTTTCCCTCTGTTTATGATTTCTAAAACGCTTGCCCCACAAAGAGGTATCTTTCAAAAGTTTAATCAAATGTTAACTTCCTTTTATTTGTGCTTAGACAATGGAAACTAATTATGTAAATAACTTAAAACAAATTACTACCTAAGTGGCACAATCTAGTTCTAGTCTATTTAAGAAGTTTATATTTGAATTTTTTTGATTTTTCTTTTTTTTTTTTTTTAAAGATTGGCACCTGAGCTAACATCTGTTGCCAATCTTTTTTTCCCCTTCCTCTTCTTCTCCTCAAAGCTCCCCCGTACACAGTTGTATATTCTAGTTGTGGCATGTGGGATGCCACCTCAGCACGGCTTGATGAGAGGTGCCATGTTCTCGCCCAGGATAAAAACCAGCGAAACCCTGGGCTGCAGAAGCAGAGTGTGTGAACTTGACCACTCGGCCACAGGACTGGCCCCAAGAAGTTTACATTTGTTTGTTTGTTTGTTTGTTTTTTGAGGAAGAGTAGCCCTGAGCTAACATCTGCTGCCAATCCTCTTCTTTTTGCTGAGGAAGACTGGCCGTGAACTAACATCCGTGCCCATCTTCCTCCACTTTATACGTGGGACGCCTACCACAGCATGGCTTGCCAAGCAGTGCCATGTCCGCACCGGGATCTGAACCAGCAAATGCTGGGCCGCTGAAGTGGAATGTGCGCACTTAACCACTGTGCCACCGGGCGGCCCCAGAAGTTTACATTTGAAATGCAGACCTTAAGGCCTAATCTTTAGAAATCTTACCTTTTTCTATGGCTATCTTTATCAAAGAGGCAAAATGAGCTTTTTGAATATGATGTAATTTGTAGTAACTTTGACTGAAGAGAAATAAATTGTAATAATTTTCCTTCAATGGAAAAGTTCTCTATTTTGGCTCATATTAGATCTGGGAAGTTTTAAAAAAAGGGAAGGCTTGGGCTCCAGTCTCACAGATTGATCTGACTGACTGAAACCACTGCTTTTATATCTAGAGTGATATGAACTATGTTCTGTCATCCTTTAAAGCAAGGATTAATGGTATCAAAGCAAATAAATTTGTTAGTCAAATTCAGTTAATTAAACAGAGAATTGTAGGAAAACACATCAAAAAATTAAAAATGAAAAAAAGTCAATGACAATACTAAACATAGTTGCTACAAAAAATTCTCCATTTAGTTGTCAGTTATATAATCAAATAGTCTCTTAAAACAGGTTTTAAGTGATCTTACCTCTTTAAGTTTCTTCCGAATTAAATCTGCCGTTGTATTCAAGGAGTCATCGTGCATATCCACTTTAGGTATGTCTGGCAACAGAGGCCCAATCACAACCTCATTGCTGCTCGTGCTTGTTTCAAAAAAAGTTCCAAGTTTACGATCATCTTGTCTTCTTCTTTTCCGCTCCTGCAGTTGTGTTGTCCTAGGCATAAATCTGTCAACTGCCTCTGAAGGAGTAATAGCCTTCTGTGCACCCGGGCAGGCCACTGAATTTTTTAAAGTTTTGATCTGCATTTTCTGCAAAGAGTCCTTGTGGTTACAATGCTCCCCTGTTTCATCGTGGTTTCTACCATCCTGAGAGGAGTTTGATGCTCTGTCCACATGTTCTCCTGATGAACATGTACATTTTGAGGAGAAATAACATAGAGGCAATTCACAAGAATAAGGAAAACAAGGATCTGAGTTCCCAGTAGAAGTGTTCACAGCGGCTGCACAAAATCCAGATGTCTCCGAATGGAAATCCTGTCTAAAATTTTTTGTGTTTTTATGCTCTGTAACCAGTTTCTTCTGTGTCATGTAATGATCTTTATATTACAATTTAAAAGGTGAGGAAAAGGGAAACAGAAGTGGTTCATTTATTGTTTTCATCATTCAGAAATTTTAAAAACAAACATTACTTTAAAATGTTAACAAATACTACCCTGAAAAATTTACTTCCTGAGCAGGCAATACATTCATGTCTTTAAAAGCTAAAAAGGATAACAGGTATTAGTGTCAAGCTTCACTCCTTGCTCCCCATATGCCTGGTTTCCACCCCCCAGAAGTAATCCACTCTCCTTACTTTCTTACTTATCTGTCCAATATGTCCTACTTTTCCTCCTCCCCCTACTCCTCTTTTTCTCTGTAATACCCGTTTCTCTGCACCTTTGCGTTTTCCACTTAACTGTAGGTCTTAGAGGGTTTTTCCCTCATTACATAGCTCCTTTTTTTAATAGTTCCAGAGTATTCTACTATATGAATGTATCATGCTGCTTAGTTTGTGTTTATTAGTTTTTAAAGGAGGCACTATGCTGGGCCGTATTTTGTAATTTCCTTTGCTATGCACACATACACGTTTTCCTGGAGCTAGCTATTTACATATCCCACAGGTTAAAGTTCAGTGTCTACAAATGACCAGGGACTCTCAACAGCTCTCTTGCCAAATTTTCAGGTAGATTTTCCAAGATTCTTCCTACTGTATTCCTCTCTTCACCTCTGCCACATGCCCCTTCCCCAGTCAGCCATAAACTCATCATATTCAACAGCTGTATGAACACCAACTTTGTCTTTCAACTAAAAGGGTGGAAATCTGGTAATTTGAGCCTCTAGTACTATTTGGATTTCAGACCACACACATTTCCTTAGTCCAATTCGGATTGTTCTAGTCCTATGATCTATGTACCAGATCCCATGACTCTATTTCAGGCAACTAGAATTTGTGTCTAGGGAAATTCAGTTGGGCATATGGGGCATTTGGCCAGCTGCTAGTCAAAAGTGGAATTTCTCCACTTTCAGCAGTTTTAGATGAGCAGTTGGTAACTGGTCTACAAATCATAATTGTCTCTCACTGCCTTGAGGTCAAAGCCTTCACTCCTCAGTATGGGACACAAGGCCCTTCATGATTCACTTCCTGTCCACCTTTCTAATCTTCTCTCTCAGTGAAGCCCCTGTGTTGTGGTTATCCTGTACCACTCACAGTTCCTTAAAATGTATGATGCTCATTTATTCCTTGGGCCTTTAAACACGCTACCTGGCCAACCTTTACATGTCCTCCTCT